GAATTTTAAAAAGAGTTTGCTTATGAGTTTTGATCAGAATTTTCAATACAGTATTGAGTAGTATGTTTGGTTATGAGTTATAACAATTTGAAATAAGTTTTGAAAACTATTTCCAAAACCCATAACCAAACAAATTTTCTTATTTCACATATCACATCAAACATTCAAAACTCAATTCCACAGTCAACTCAAAACTCAATTCAAAACTCTTTTCAAAACTCATAATCAAACAAATTTTTCATACTCAAATTATAATTCCAAAACTCACAAACTCAAAATACAATTCAATTCTCAAATCATATTTAGAAAACTCTACCAAACACTACCTTGAGTTGTGTCTTTTTTGTATGAGGAAGAATATGTGATGTTTGGTTTTGTAAGAAAGTATTAATTTGGGTAGTTGTTGAGAATTGAGGAGGGATAAGGCCTTGCCCACTGTTCCTCAAAGTAGATTTGAAGGCTTCATGAGGGAACAAGTGCTAGATCAAACAATAAATTTAGGGATCAAGCACTGAATTCAGGAATCAAGTGCTGAACACTACTCAAAATTTCACTTCTTTTTCGATTGTAAACTTGAGAGTTCTAAGTAGGACCCTAATGGAAATATTTAGACATTATAAGTACAATTTGACTATAAGGAAGACCTAATGACCATATTGTGGACTAATATTACTCTATGGACAAGAGATAGATATGTACAGAGCATAGTTGTTAAATCGGGATTCAAATCGTGAATCAAAATGGTATTGTGCCAAATCGTGAATCGAATCGAATCGTGAATAGTAAAGATTCGGTCACCTTTTTTTAATTACATAGAAAATATATCTACACACTTAAATATTAAATATATGTAATAATTATGAAATATTTAGATTTAAATCAATAAAAATATTGTTTTAAATGATGATCATGTGATCTGTATAAGAAGTTAACATTGATTCCCATGTTTAGCACTTCACCTTTTCCCTTTTAGATACTATTTCTTATCAACCGTTCTTAATAAAGAAAGAAAACAAAGACAAACTTTCAATTTCCAAATAACAATAACTCAATAATAATATTTTTAACTTTTTACAAGGTTAAATATCAAAATCTTCAAACTTTTTCAAAAATCTCACTTCATACCTTTAAAAAATTCATTTTGTAAATGCAAGTACTTAGATAAATTTGAATATGTAAGCCTAGAATATTGTAGAGAGAGTTCATTTTTTTTTTCTACTAAGGTTTGAGTATTTGAGAGTAAATAGGGAGGGAGAACGTCAAAAGATGGCATATAATAATCCTTAAAAAAGTTGTGTGAACCCTTTTCCAACAATAAATAATAAATAAAAAAAACATTGATTTTAGCAAATCAAATCGATTCACGATTCATCGATTCAGTTCACTGATTCACCTACAATTCATAGCTATTTGCAATTCACACAACCTATTCGAATCGATTACCTACTAAATCGAATCGAATCGTACAATTCGAATAACAAAGGTAGAGAGAATAATAACAAATTAAATTGTGTAGTTGTCTTATGACAAATTCATGTGTTATCTTAATGTAGAATCATTTTATCAAATTTTGATTGGCATTAGGGTGTCTGGATCAAAACTCGACTAATCCCCAAGGGTGCACAAGCCTTCGGCAAGAAGTTTTCTCCAAGTGCACCACAGTTAATTCAAGAGTTTTCCTCAACTCCGATAACTCCAAGGAATTGTTAGCACCTAAAAGGTTTCGATCCCTGAACCTTTGAGGGAGCACACCCCCAAAACCCAAGGCCTTGCCATCAGGCCAACCCCTTGGGGTTATCATTTTATCAAGTTTTGAATCCATATACATGCCATTCATGGATTAGTCCCAGCTACCAGGGCAGAGAATAAGCAAGCTAGTAGCCCAATAACCAAGACGTCTATATGTGCCACTAATGTGGCTTAAATGTACAGGTGCCAGATATTGTCCCAGTTGTTCTATATGTATAGTTCCATTTGGATGGGCATTACATGATACTTTTTATATGGTACTCTCCGTACAATGTAATATAATTCCAAAGCATTGACAAGCTTATTGTTAAACACTCAATTTTGATACAAGTATATGGTTTGGTTCAAATCTATGATGCACAACACGAACACGACACGGACACGAGAAAACGTAAATTTTCAAAAAATAGGGACACGACACGCTAGGGACACGTTCAATATATATAATTTTATTTATTTATTATAAGTAAAATTAAAAAATATAAATATTATTTATTTATTTTAATATCAAATATTATTCACAAATTAAAATTTTCTTATAAATAAAAATAATTTATTTAAACAAATAATAATATCTAAAAAATAGAAAAAAGGAAAAGAAAAAAAAAAGAAAAAAAGGATGTTTGTTAAAATATATATCCAGTATATAATATATATACTATTATTATTAGTATATATAAATATATATATATATATGCATATATTATTAGTATATAATGTATACAGCGATCGATGGTCAAACGAGGGCACCGAAACACCATAGCGAGAGAGAGAGAGAGAGAGAGAGAGAGCAGAGAGGGAGACAACACAGACGAGGAAGACGATGAAGACGACACATACGAGGAAGACGACACAGACGACGCAGACGAAATGAAGAAAGAAGAAGAAAAACAGAAGAAAAGAAGAAGATCGAAGAAGAGATTTGAAGAATCGAAGAACATACCTGATCTAGGGCTCCATTTCAACAGGTTCTTCACCCTCTCTCTCTCTCTCTCTCTGTCTGCAACAGGTTAGGGTTTCTCTCCCTCTCTGTCCATAACGTGTCCATAGCGTGTCCAACAGTGTCCAAATGAGTGTCCGGTTGCAAAAATTTTAAAAAAAAAGGGACATGTTGGGTAGAGTGTCGGACACGTGTCCACCGCGTGTCCGACGCGTGTCCGACACCCAAACGTTGCCTTAGGAGACGTGTCCGTGCTACATAGGTTCAAATCTTTTGATAACCCTGTATGTTGAGATATTTCATGACAAATGAATGGCTTTGGTATTACTGGTCTTGTTAGTTCATCCCTACTCCATTACATGATTTCAGGTGATACGGCATAGAAGGTGATCAAGTGTTCTGTATCTGTTAATGTGCACATGGCTAAGAAGACTTTTCTATGAACCTAGGGAGACTTATGAGTTAGGTGTACTTTTATGAAAAGTTTGGTCATGTTAGTTCATCCCTATTCCATTACATGATTTCTGGTGATAAGGCTTAGAAGGTGCTCAAGTGTTCTGTATATGTTTACGTGCACATGGCTAATAAGAATTTTTAATGAACCTGGAAGGCTCTTATGCGTTAGTTGTACTTTTATGAGACATTTGGTCCTGTTGGAGACTTTTATGAGATTATGCACATGTAAAGCTTTTTATACAATGACCAAACTTGTGCTACAAATACAAATATTTTGTATGTAAACTATAAAAATTCCAATTTAAGAACTTGCACTGATGAGTTTACTATATTACAAGGATTTTGTTACAATATGCTTCCACTAAACAATAAAGAATTTCTTAATTTTAGAAGTGCATTTCCCATTTAGTGCAGGTAGACCTTTCATAGCTTGTTGCTATCGGCCTGCCATTCCCGGCTAATCCACTTAGTGTGGGTTTGGGGCCGTAACAGTTATAGTAATACAAGCAGCCACACTTGGTACCAGATACTTAGCAGTACTATTAGTGTGGTATTTCTTGACATTCTTTTTCTGTTTTTCCATCTTCCTGCCATCATTTTTTGGTTTCACTGTCTACTAGAGCAATTTAAGTGTACAGTATTATTAAATAACAAGTTGCCAACAGCAATTTACTTTTCCAGATAACCTTCCAGATAACCTATGAAGCACGGGTATACGTACGAGTACTGATATGCTACAAGTACGTCGATATCGTAAAATCAAAAAATGTAGAGTGCAGGTATGGCTTGGTACATTTGTAAAAAAAATATTTATTTTTAATTTAGAATAATACAAAAATTGATATGGTTTAATTTATTAAAATCCAACCTGCAATTAATATTTAATACCCAAAGTAAAGATATAAACAAAAATTAAACGTCATATATTAAATAACATACAAACCATAGCTTAATTTTAAAATCATGCTAGGCATAAAAGTAAAAATAAAAAAGAAGTTCAGTGAAAGGAATTGAGGTATAGTACGGCTCAGGTATATACTAGGTATGTTTATGTACGTCAAAAATTAAAAAGAATATATATTGGTACGTATTTCGTGTACCCGGTACGTATGTAAAAATATCATATGAAGTACAACACGTCGGTAAGTACCCGGTACGGGTATGCCATGTTTGTCAAAGTACCCATACTTCATAGCAGATAATTAAAGGAGCTAAATTTTTTTGATCAACCTCTAAACTTGACAAACAATTCTTTGCAATTGAGGGCCCAAATCAAGATTGTTTAGGAAACCTAGACAGCACCCAATTGAGCCCACGAGAAAAGCAACAAAACATGGAAGGTTTTCCCAATAACTTGTACACACTTAAACATAATACTAGAAAATTGCTACTAATACACGATCCATTGCCAAAAAGATTTATTCTTTAAAGCTGTAACCAGAGACACCATGGAAGTTAAACTCCTTCCAATAATGGGCAGACAGAAAATAGCAAGTGTGTTTTTTTTTTGGCTAGAGATGAATCCCTCCCAAGAGCAGATTACATGACACTATCTCCTTCTGCCTACATTTACAATCCCAATAGGATTTAAAGAAAGGTGAGTAATACAGCCAGACGTTATTATGATTTCATGAATGAACAATAAAGAATTGGAAATTCATGGACATGAATTTCCTAACACGCTTTAATGAATAAATTGGCCCCAAACTCTCTAAACTACAACTACTCATCAATGAAAAGAATAATGATACACATCCAATGCCCGATGGAGAAGGGTATATTTTACCCAAAGAAATTTTACCTAATTAAATTATATTGCAATTATCAAAATGATTAAGCATGTAGAAAACTTTACCTGATAGAGAAGGCCACTAAATGTCTTTTACCCTGAAAGCCTTTCAAGTGTCCATGAACCCGAACATACATTCCATCCCTAAATATCAAATTAAAAGATAAAGTAAAATGTAAAATAAGGTATAAATATCAAAATTTTAAAATTAAGGTGAGAAAAATATTAAGGACCTACTTGAATGTTATTATGCTTTTTCAAAATTCATCCTCAAGAACAAGTTTGGGTTTGAAACGGGAGCAATGTGCCTAACTAAGCTCAACCCCAATCCAAGCAATTTTGCAGCTGACACTATTTCTCCCTCCAGGATTTGTAATATATTCTATGATCTCTGTCTGATTTTGAATAATATTCCTAGTAGTAGCAACAGAATTGCAAGGAGATTTGGGTTCCCTTGGGCTATGTTTGGAGGATGGATTTGGACAGTGATTTGGAAAAAGAAAACGAAAGTGTAAGTGAAATGTTAATGAAATATAACTACATTTTACCTACATTTCATGCAACTTTTCTCTTTCTGTTTCCAAATCCCTATCTAAATTCATACTCCAAACACAGCCATAGTGATGAGGTATCCTTTTAATTTTGATTAATCTCTTCCTTAATTCAAGGAGAGGATTTCTATTTATGTTAAGAATAAATGAATCAAGGCAAGCAGTTTATTTTCCCCCCAAAAAAAAACAGTTCTCATTCACCCACCATTACTGTACATTTCCAACTTTCAATATATCTTCAGTAAGAATCATTTCACCATCTTAATTATAGACATTACAAATGAAGACCTTTCAAATTCAAGGGGTGTCCACACAGGCCCTAAAGCTATATGCAACAACAATAGTAAACTCACGATATTCCCTCTACTTCTTTCGTGTCCACAGCTTCATTTACCCTGAAAATACACAGATATGTCACTTTAGCATGCAAAATTAACAAAATATTTGCAAATTGGGCATGCAATTTCAGCTTGAATCCGTAAAAATTGACACAGTATACGCAAATAGCATCTCAATTAAGAGTGAGAGAGCTCACCATCTATTGCAATCAATGCGTCCTGTGCCATCGTCTAACACAAAGAAAATATCAGTAACCCTTTCCGTTTTGTTGAAAACCATCCCCACCAATTTAACCTAAACACAATTGAAACTCAAAATTTGAGTATAAATTTATTTTAGAAAGAAAAAGAAGAAGAAGACTCAAACTTTACATTGTTCACATCGACACCATCAATTAGGAAATTCGATTTGTCATCGCTGGACTGAAAAGCTTCGCTTATTTGCTTCACCGTTAAAGGAAGCAATGGCTGGGAATCTCGATTCTGCAAAACCAATACAAGACCAAAACCCTAATTATATGTTGTACCTGAGAATCATACGAAAAATGAACGAGACTATAATATTTGAACCCTAGGATTTAGAAAAGCGAAGCAAAAGTAACAGTAACAGAAACTTGTAAAAAGAAATTTCTTTTATTTTCTCTGTTTCCCTCCGATTTTCTCGGCAACCAAACAAGTAAGATTGGGTATTACTTTGGAGGTAGAGAAGAAAGGATCGGCGGTCTGAGTGGCCTGAGAGGGCATGAAACCGCCGCCGGAGAAGGCGGCGCTGCCTTCGAACTGGTTCGCATACATCTCTCTTCAAACTGGGGTTCAAAATCCGAATTGGGGTTTCGATTTTGGGGATCGGTTTATATATGTCTCTAAAGTGAGGGCTTCCCGCCAATTTTTTTTTTTTTTTTCTTTTCCTTCTTTGAAGGATTACAATTCAATGATTTTTTAAATATTATTTGTTTGAAATTATCAACGTAAGTCAAATTTTTAATTTTTATGATAAAATATATAAAAAAATGAAGAGGTGATATTACTTAAAAAAATAAAATGATAAAAAGTATACTTATATAACACATCTCAAATATAGATGAAGTTTTAATTATTAATATTTCTAAAATTTATTATTGATGTGTAATTTTTTTATAAATTATTCTGCGTTTTCTCTTTATAAAATATAGGAAGAAGAATAAAGAATTAATATATAAAGGCTCCGTTTGGTGTAGCTATTAAAACAGCTTATAGATTATACCTTAACAGATTATAGATTATGACTTTAATCAGAAGTTGTTAGTCTGTTTGGTGTAGCTGTTGGATTATAGATTTAAGTTGCTGAATAGTGTTTGTTAAATAAGCTGTGAAATAACTTTTTCAATTAATTTTTATTTTTTGTTTGTCTACATTTCTCATAAAAAATAATAATAATAATTTATAGTCCGTTTGAGTCTTTTTCTATTTTTAAAAAAATAAAAAATAAAAAAATTTAAGAGTATAACCATAAATTAACATGTCCACAGTAAAAGTTGATAATCAGAAGCAATGGGTGAGCAGCTTCTCAGAATCAACTTTTTTGAGTTAAAATAAGCTGTTAGAATTAGAAACTGTTTGAAATAAGTTTAACCAAACAGTCCAAAATAACTTTTTCAAAGCTAAAAGCCATAAGTTGGCTCTAAAAAACTGAAACAAACACCCCCAAAGCAAAACGTGAGACTCAAAATAAAGACTTTTGGTCTGGTGGACAAAACACTGGTGCGGTTTGGTACATTTGTTAAAATAGATTATAAATTATGAGTCTAATAAAAGGTTGTTAATCTATTTGGTGCAATTGTTGGATTATATATTTAAATTACTAAGTAGTATTTGATAAATAAATTGTAAAATAACTTTTTAATTTATAAACATCTTTTTTATCCTTGTTAACAGTAAATTTAATTAACCTTTCTTAGTTAAAAATTAAATTAATTTTTATTTTTTGTTATTAATTACTAGTCCACATTTTCCGTTAAAAAAAATCTAGTCTACAATCTATACTTTGGTCTTTTTCTATTTTCAAGAAAAAAAATAATAATAACAAATCAATTTCTAGGGATATAGTCACAAATTAACATACCTACCGCAGATGTTGATAATCAAGAGGTGGACAACTTCTCAAAATCAATTTTTTTTAGTTAAAAAAAGTTGTTATATTCAAATATGATTTAGACTAAATTTAACCAAACAATCAAAAATCACTTTTTTAAAGTTAAAATCTATAAATTAGCCAAATTAACCCACACCAAACACCCAAACTTATTACTTGAACGATACACTTTATGTTACCACTTGAACGTCACATTATATATATGCTTTTAAATTAAAATTAAAATTTATATTTTTCAAATTTTAATAGCATACCCATTGGGTAGACAGACACTACTAAGCCTCCATTTGGCAAGTTAGGTTATGGGCTTTTTTTGGCTATTTTAGCCACAAAAGACAAAATAGACTATTTTAACCACAACAAACAAAACATCACATCCAATCCGTAATCATTAGACTCTTCTCTCACAAAAAAAAGTCAAAAAAGTCAAAAAGTCAAAAAGTCCTTCCCAAACTAAGCTTTTTAGCCCAGGCTAAAATAGCCAAAAAAACCAAAAAGCCAATCCACTTCCCAAACCAACCCTAATATATATATTAACTTATATTATTGTGTGTGTTCATTTGATAGCATAAATTTGTGAGAAATTCAAAACTTAGATGTTCAATATCAAGCAAAGTAATGAGAAAAAAAATTCACTTGAATATAACTAACGAATTATTGATAAAAAACATTAAATATTAAGTGAATTAAAATTTAAAAAAATCAAAATTGTAGAATTTGTTAAAAAATTTTCCAACTTTACGGGAGGTTAGTGTAATTTATCCAATTTATTTTTACATGATTTTTTTTTTTCGAAAATTTGAAAAAAAAATTAAAAGTGCTTTCATAAAAAAATATAGTGTTATGAGAAACTTTTCTAAAAAGATAAGGAATTAAAATTGATCATTGGTGTAACCCTACCAAAATTGAAAATTCAATCATCTCTCTAGTAGGCGATTTAATAATGGTCACTATACCTTCATATATATCACTAATCACGTCAATTTAACATTTTGTTACCCCTTTCTTTTTTAACGCCCACTAGATTATATCCCAAGACATTCTATCATATACTTTCTCAAGATTGATAAAAATCATATGAATGTCTCTTTTATTTTCTATTACTCTCCTCAAATGATAGATCGCTTTCATTGTTGATCTACCAAGCATAAACCCAAATTGATTCTCTAACACCTCTGTTATATCTCGCAATCGACATTCCATCACTCTTTCTTTCCCACACTTTCATTGTGTGACACATTAACTTGACACCTCTATAGTTGTTACAATTCTGAACATCTCTTTTATTTTTATATATTAGCACTAAAATACTCTTCCTCCACTCCTCTAGCATTTTCCTAGTCAGTAAAATCTTACTAAATAACCTAGTCAACCAAACAACCTCCTTCTTACCCAAACATTTCCACGCTTCAATCGGTATATCATCGGGTCCTAAAATCTTATTCAGTTTCATCTTTTTAAGTGCAAACTCTTAACCTGTAGTCCTAATTTTCCTTGTTACTACCTACATCCTCTCTTTTTGACCTACCTCTATGTTCCTCATTTAACAATTTCTCAAAATAGTTCTTCACCTCTCTTTAATCTCTTCATCCTTCACCAACACCTTAGAGTACTATCCTTGCCCTTGATGCAGTTAACCTAATTAAAATCTCTTGTTTCTCTCTTATCTTAACAAGTTTGTATATCCTCTTCTCTCCCTCCTTACTATCTAATCTAGTGTATAGGTCATCATAGGCTTTCAACTTCGTCTCCCGCACTACTTTTTTAATCTCCTTATTAGCCAATCTGTAGCGCTTAAGGTTTTCCTCAGTTATATCATTTTGTCACTTTTTAAAGCTCTCTTTTTTCGTCTTTATTACTACTTGAACCTTCTCCCTCCACCACCAAGTTTCCCTAAAGTTAGGTCCATTTCCTTTCGACTCTCCAAGAACTTTCCTTGAAATTCTCCTCATACAATTGGCCATTGAGTTTTACATAGTGTTAGCATCATCTTTCATGTCCCAAGTACCTTTTTTATCTATTCTATTCTTAAATGTGTCTAGTTTATCCCCTTTTAGGTCCCATTATCTAGTTCTACAACTCCCACTATCTTTCCGAGTTTGGTATTGCCCTTTATAGTATAAATGTAGTACCAAAATCCTATGTTGAGACGTCAAGCTCTCTCTAGGAATCACCTTACAGTTGCTAAATTTTAGACGGTCCCCTTTTCTTACTAGAAAGTAATCTATTTGGCTCCTAATTGACCCACTTGTAAAGGTTATCAAATGCTACTTTCTCTTCTTATACATAGTATTGGTCACCACTAGGTCAGAAGCCAACGCAAAATTTAAAATATTCTCTCTAACCTCATTTCTATCACCAAAACCATACCCACCATGCACCCTGTCATACCCTAGTTTATCTATTCCTACATAGCAATTGAAATCACCCCTTATTATTAGGTTCTCTCCTATGAGTATCTCTTGTAATACCTCATCCATTTGGTCCCAAAAAACTCTCTTAGTCTGATTATCTAATCCTATTTAGAGGGCATATACACTAATAACGTTCATTATATTATCTCCAATAACCACTTTTCCTAATGACCGCAACTACATTTTCTACAAAACTCTTAACAACTATTATTCCTACCCCATTCATGTGTCTATCCTTGCCACTATAATATTGGTTAAAACCGGTATCCTCTATTTCCTAAGCTTTCTCACCCGTCCACTTAGTTTCTTGTACGCAAGTTATACTAACTATTTTCCTAATCATGACATCTACCAATTACATATTCTTACCAATTAAAGTTCCTATATTATATGTGGCTACCCTAAACCTATAATCTTAGACTAGCTTCTTTATCCGCGCTCGTCTAGAAAACGCAGAAACCTTTGCCCATTTTTCACTGCATCCAAGCGTCGATGTAGCGCCCCTTGCTCACTTTTCGAAACACCCGAAGACAGGCACAACACGTCTGTAAACACCCTATTTTGACCACCCCTAAGACTTGGGTGCTTCAATTCGAACACTCGATGATGAACGTTACTTTATGCAAATTGTTCAAATATTTAGCAAAAGAATTCTGTTTCGAGCTTCAAACCCAAGCCTTCCCTCCTATTTGGACGAAACCCTATTTTTAGCCTGACCACTCAGTGAGCAGCAAGGCCAAAATAATTGGCTAGTCTGCCATCATACAATTAATTGGTCGGCCGACCATGTTTGCCGATAGAAGATATTCTGCAACAGCCAGTTGTTCCCATGTGCATGCCTTGCACCAGCTGTCTCTTTACAGATATTTCTGACGTAAGAACCTGTATTTCTATAAATACAAGCCCCCCTTCATGGTTTGGGGTTAGAAAATTTTGGCCAAGAGCTATAACTTGTCCAACACACTTCCTTCCTCTCTTGCAATAGACATACACTATACATACACCTTCAAAGCTTAAACTTGAAGCTTTTACTGAGATTTTTTAATATAATTCTAGCCCCTTGAGAGTGCTTAGCTTGTGGTTTGTTAACTAGGAAGCTCTTCCTCTCTTTAAAGGGGTAATCTTTGAACTCTTTGACCATCTTTTCGCTCTCTTTTTCTCTCAATTTCATACTAATTTCTGAGTCATTTTAAGTTTAAAAATTTGATTTAAAGTCACAACAAGAGGTGGGGTTAGCCACCATTCCTTAGGCCTTGTTCCATAGCTTGTTGCTTTGCCTTTTTCTATTTTGTTTCTTTTGGTTTT